AGCCGAAAATTGATCCGTTACTCTTTATATTCAATAAGTCATTAATATAAACAATAAAAATWAATAAATATGTAAGGTATGTAACTTATATTTATAAYAAATGTTCAGTGAATAGTTTAGCAGACCACCAATTATATAAGAAGCTAAGCCTTACTTGTCACGAACGATATGATTTGTTTGATCATRACAGGTTTTTAGATGTTGTTGAGGAGTCTTTAGACGTTGGAGGTGTTAGATGATTTAAGAAGGTCTTTTGAAAATTGTTATGGTACACACCATTTATACATATAGGTATGTAAAAATATGTATATAAATTATTATAGACATCAGATATAGAGTATAATATAGGTATATCAGAAATTCTGAATGAAATGAAACAAAACAAAAAAAAACATAAAATCGATTTGATGCAAAAATAAAACACTATTTTATCTATGGACAATTCTTAAAGTAGTAGACTATACTAGGTGCTCGTGGAACCTAAACCAAAATCAAAGTTAATTTATTAAGAAAAGTTCTTTAGAATACCTTTCAAAAAGATGAAGTATTTATCATATTGATATCGAAATGTATATATAATAAAATGCTATTATTATATTTTAGAACAATGATTAATGACATGGTTGTTTTATATTATGAATAGAAAAACAGTCTTTTGTGTCTGAAAAGAAATGATTATTTATCGGTGTTTAAAAAATAGACGTCGCTAGAATAAACGAGCTAATTTCCACTAAATAGTCTATCATGACTAAGGTTTTAATTTAACATTTTAATTTTTCTTTTAAACATTTAAAAGACTCACGAAAATAATATACAAAAGGATATGAAGTATTGTTGACGTATAATCTGAACTATATCCATAAATTGGCTGACAGAAATTAGGCACCCGGAAGCTAGGTGACTCGAAACATATTCGGGAAAATTTTAAATCTGAAAATTAGCGTAGTCTATAGTGATATTTTCCGTATCTACTTATATATTTTTATAATACTATAATTCTATAAACAAAAAAGGTATGTACCTATAGTAGGTTCATATTAACTATAATTTTTCATCACTTTCGTCTGTTAGGTTTAATACCTTTTTTTTACAGGACTCCTATTTTTAATCAGCATAAAATTTTTGATAACAATTTGTTTTTGTGTTTTTTTATTGATGTATTTATTATATTGAGATGAACTTTCGATACGAGAAGTGCATAATAAGCATATTAGATAAATTAAATACACAGCGTGGGAATAAAACATRAAAAAAACRTCGATGGACCACTCCCTAGGAACATTTTCAAAATTAAAATATTTTTCGATACAAAACTAAAACATTCCGTACACACCGGAATACTTGTCTATGCCGGTAGGTACATCATTCGTCGTGTCCATACCTGCATCCGATGACAAATTCTGTACAACAACAATATTGTTCTAGTTAGAATCGTCGGYAGTGTCACGGGAAAATCACGGAGACCGTGTTATACATATATGTACATATGTGGTATACAGGCAGGTATGGTAGGCAGGCAGGCAGGTACCAAAACCAAACCGATCGCTCTCCCGCCGCCCACCCCACCCAACTGTCCACAGCGTGTGCCAAACGCGTTTTACTCGGTGGTATAATAGGCGACCGACAGCGTGAATCGGCTGCAGAATCGTGACGAACCTCGCAGAAACTCGGGGATCGCCCGCCGTTTTCTTGGTTTTTTTTATTAAAAAAATTATTTTTGTCGACGCGATTCCCACACGAAAACTAGCACGCAGCCCGTGATTTTTTTTCGTAACCGATATCGATCGTTTCGATGCGCGAAAATTTTATTTCTAGTCGAATCGAACGTAGAGGTTAATATACACGGTATAGCATTATAAAATAATTACATCATCAACGTAAAAATCGAAATTTCGCGAAAATTCCAATCGCAGAGAAGTTCGCGAAACTATATTATATAATATAATTCACGCCGCATCACGTTCGATATCATGGCGACCACTAAATCTTGTATCACGYTGATGAGCTCACTAGTCCTACTTTTAACCTGCTCGCTGCGGTGTGCGATCGCGGTTCAGACGGACGCACAAGCAATGGTCAGTATGATAATGATATTATTATTATTATTATTATGTTTTTGTGTAAGTCTGAGAAAAACGTTACGAATTGGAAGATTTCTTCCATTATTTTTCAAATTTAAAATCAATATTAAGATAATTCTAAGCGAATCTATTTTTTTCGAAACATGCGTAAACAGTG